ACCAAGAATGGTACAGGTCCAGTCCGCTTCCAGGTAAGGCTTCCTGTCCTCACCCTAGCTGCATTTCTTCTCCAGCTCCAGTTGCTGCCTCAAATTCCTTGGCATCTCCCCTCCCAACCTAGTCCTTCTCCACCCACTTCCCTGCCTGGCTGCCCCCACCCACTCACTGGAGAGAGGGAGGAAGGGCAGGCCCATCCCTCTTATTCCATCAGTTCCTGCTTAGAGGTAGGGGAGGTCAGAGCACACTGCAGCTAGGAGTTAGTATAGATCAGAGTAGTGAGACCCTAGAGTTTTTGGAGCTATTTGCCTAGTTGTGGGTGGGGAGAAGGTCTGTGAATTTCCCTGCTTCATCTTGCAGGCTGAAGCTTCAGAAAAGGACAGTGGCTTGAAGATACAGACCATATTGAGAGTTACCCAGCACTTGGAGGTCTCAGAGACACTGAAGGCCTCTAAGGTGCCAGAGAGCTCCGAGGCCATGAAGGTCTCAAACTCTGAAGGAGTCTCAAAGGCCACAAAGTTCTCAAAGGCCCCAGAGGCTCAGGAGGCAGCTGCCACTCAGGTCTCACCTACCACTAAGCTGACTGATACTCAGGTTCTAGCATCTGAAAAGAAGAGTCCAGCAGCTGACACCAAGATGCAGAATGCTGACCCTCAGGCTGTGACAGTGCCTGCCACTGAGACCAAAATGGTCAGCTGTATGGCTGATGCAAAGGTCAATACAAAGGGCCTGGAGACTGAGACTGCTGCCTCTCAGGGTCTGGCAGATGAACCTGAGCCTGATGGTGCAGTTGCCCAGGTTGAGGAGAATCAGGATGCTCGGCCCAAGGTTAAGGCCAAAAAAGCCCGAAAGGTAAGACCTCTGTCTGCAATCACTGTCCTTGCATTTCTACACCTTTCTTCTCAATGGGTTCATTTATTCTGCAAACATTTAGGATGTTCCCTGTGCTCATCAAGGCTGTGGAGCACTAAGAGGAATGTGATATATTCTTTTCTTCAGAGAGCTCACAGACTGGTGGGGGGATGAGGCAAGAATATGCATAGCTGCAATCTGCATGTAATGCAGTTATATTTACATAGTAGTTAATTGTGTGTTAGGCCTTGAGCTAGGGACATTCACACAGGTTATCTCATTAAATCCTGAAAGCAATCCAGTTTTATAGAGAAGGAAGTTGAGTCCCAGCGAGGTAGAGTGACTTGTCCAGGGTGACTTGTATAAGCAGAGCCAATGGTGGACAAAGGAAGGGGAGATTCCTCAGGCTCCACCCTCAGGTTGCTTCTGGCCTGGTGGGGAGATGAAACTCCTGCTTAGAAACCAGAGAAAGACAAACCCAAGACTCATCAAGACCAACATCTGTTGAATCAAGTTGTTAAAATAGGGATGAGATTAGAAGGGGCTTCTGGAAGAGCTAAGATGAGGAAAAAGAACCATCTGCTTCAGTTAGCAATGTTGTACTTCCTCTCTGTTGATGCAGGTAAAGCATCTGAATGGGGAAGAGGATGGCAGCAGTGATCAGAGTCAGGCTTCTGGAACTACAGGTGGCCGAAGGGTCTCAAAGGCCCTAATGGCCTCAATGGCCCGTAGGGCTTCTAGGGGCCCCATAGCCTTTTGGGCCCGCAGGGCATCGAGGACTCGGTTGGCTGCTTGGGCCCGGAGAGCTTTGCTCTCCCTGAGGTCACCTAAGGCCCATAGGGGCAAGACTCGCCGCAGAGCTGCAAAGCTGCAGTCATCCCAAGAGCCAGAAGCAACACCACCTCGGGATGTGGCCCTATTGCAAGGGAGGGTAAGAACCTGGTCCTCTCCACTCTGCCTTATCTATTATTGCCTTGCCTACCCTCTTCTCTGCCATCCTCTCAAGTCTTCTGCAAATGCATTTTGATTTTTCCATCTTTTCTCCTCTCCCAGGCAAATGATTTGGTGAAGTATCTGTTGGTTAAAGACCAGACAAAAATTCCTATCAAGCGCTCAGGTAGACTCCTACTAGCACTCTTGTCCCCCAGCTCTGCCCTCCATTGCCCTCTTCCCCCTGTGCTGGGGCCATTCCCATGCTTCTGCCTCTGTCCTCCCAAAGTTCTAATTTGACAGTGCTAGTATCTCTCTTTATTAGTTTAAAACCTATTTGTGCCATTCACAGCAAGGTAGGCAAAGGGTCTGTAGTTTGGGTATGGAGGTCACCTGGCTTCACTTTAGCCCAGGTGCTTGTAACACTTTCCCCTTGCAGACATGCTGAAGGACATCATCAAAGAATATACTGATGTGTACCCTGAAATCATTGAACGAGCAGGCTATTCTTTGGAGAAGGTGAAGGGGCAGCCCTGGGGGATGGGCACAATGGGGAAGCTTTGAATCGAACAAAGGTGTACATGTACCTTCTTAGGGAGACCACAGAAACTTGCTAATCCAGCCCTCATTGCTGTGGAGATGGGCAGATAATGGCCTAAGGAGGGGCATAGACTAGCCTGGGGTCACAAAGCAAGTCAGTGGTAAAAGCACAGCTAGGACCCAAGCCACCCAACTTAGTCCTGCCTTTTGTCCACTGCTAGACACGTCCTGTAATGTATTTCAGATGCCCACATCTCCCTTCCATTCCCCATTCTGTCTCCTTGGATTCCCACTAATTGTAAAGATGATGCTGATAACAATAGTATCTGTTTGCTGTGTGTCAGCCACTTTGCTATGTGCTTTACATGCATTATCCCTGATTTTTTCACATACACTCAAACACACACACACATATACACACATAGACCTTAGGTGTGTGGGGATCTATGGGATGCCCAGGAAACTAAATTTCATGATCTCACTAGCTGTTCTCCCATCCACAGGTATTTGGGATCCAATTGAAGGAAATTGATAAGAATGACCACTTGTACATTCTTCTCAGCACCTTAGAGCCCACTGATGCTGGTATACTGGGAACGTAAGCAGGAAAAGGGCTGGGGTGGGAGGGAGGCTTCTGCTTTTGGCCCCAGTACTACCCCATCCCTGTCCTCTCTCCCCACGTTCCTTTAGAGAGTCAGGAAAGGCAAGGCCTATTAAGCCCCTGTTCCAGCTTCCACATGTAGTTGGAGCCCTGCTCACAGTAGTGGTGCCTGATTATGATTGACTGAAGGGTGTAGAGCCTGGGGCAGGGCATTCCTACTGTCAGGTTTTCTGTTTCTCCAGAAGCTTCCCCGGAGAGTAGACCTGTTTTACTTGTCTCTTCCTCCTTGTCTTGCTCGAGTGGTTCTCAAGGGATGGCTTCCTGGTGTGGGTGGATCATGACGTTCAAAGGGTAGGAGCATGAGTGGGGCTCTGCCTAGAATTCTCTTTGGGCTGAGGAGTCTGGGAGAGAAAGCAGAGACTCACACTGACTGGGTGCTTGTGTTGAACCAGGTTGATGAGCATTTTTCACTCCTCAGAAACCCAGGAAGGGGAGGAGTGGTTTTCCCATTTTACTGAATAGGAGACTGAGGCTCAACAGTCTTAAGGGTCATATAGAGTGTGAAGCATAGACTGGGCAGAAGTCTCCCATGTCAGAGGGACCGGGGAGAGGTTAGCTTAGTGAGCTGGCTGGTGTGTTTTTGCAGATGGCTGCTGGACATAAGCCTTCTGTTATTCCCCTAGGACCAAGGACTCACCAAAGCTGGGTCTCCTCATGGTGCTTCTTAGCATCATCTTCATGAATGGAAATCGGTCTAGTGAGGGTGAGTGGCTGGTCTTGCAGCTGAGTGGGTGGCCACAGTTGGAACTTCACGTGTTCATTTTCTGTCCCTGTCTCCTCTCGCCTCCCCTTATAGCTGTCATCTGGGAGGTGCTGCGCAAGCTGGGGCTGCGCCCTGGGTATGACTGGGCTCTCTCAGTGCTTGCTGTCCATGCTGTCCTTTGGCAAGAGAGGATGGTCCCAGGATTGCATCAGCCTGGTGGTCTGGTGGAGCGGGTGGGAGTGCTGGACTGGGTAGAGGGTCCAAGGTTCTCACCTGGGTGGATGGGGAAATGGTCCTAAACTCTCTGCTCCCTGTCTCACTGTGTCTTGGGCTTCCCTATTGAGCTTCCCTCTTTTTGGAAACCTCTTTTCCATATCAGAAATGCCTCTGCTTACATCTGGGAAGTGATACAGCCCTGCTTGTATTTATTTATCTATTTTTCTTTCTCTGCTGTCAGGATACATCACTCACTTTTTGGGGATGTGAAGAAGCTCATTACTGATGAGTTTGTGAAGCAAAAGTAAGTGTCTAGTGTTAGTGTGTACCATGCATTTTTCTTGTTTCAGAACTGAATGGTAAAGCTATGGTGTGTCTGCTTGTAAATGTGTATACGTGTTTGTATGCAGGTGGTAGCTTATTCCTTAGGCAGTAATAGGGGACAGGAGCATGTATTTCCTGACCTACATGTACTCTCACAGATGCCTTCAGAACAGTTCTTCAAAGGAGGGAGTGACATCACCAGCATTGTATACATGTGAGAAAACTGAGGCTCAGATAAGTGAAGTCATTTGCTTAGAGTTACACAGGTAGTAAATGAAATAGTGATTAGGTCCTGGTCTCAATGCCTTGGTTCTTTTTACTGTGCTAACCAGGGCTTCAGAGAAATTAATTTACAGGAAAAATTCTGTAGAATGGTGGTTTTAGGTAGCCTGGTGCTGTACTGGGGACTTCTTCACCTCACTTCATTTTCATAATATGCTGCAGATAGGTGGTATCATCCCATCCCCATTTTTTTAGTTGAGGAACTTCGGCTCAGAGAGTAGACATCGGAGCATGGCCTCAGCTATTAAGCAGCCCATTTGGGCCAGGGGCCCAGTCCTGACTTTCTGGCCAGGGCCCACCCTTATCCTTGGTCCTTGGAGAACACATGTACTTAACTGGACACACTAACACATACTGGCATGCACACATGCATATACAGTTGGAAGTCTGTATAGAAGATGCTTGTTTTGGTTGACTGTTTTTTCTCTTTACAGTGGTTTTCTCTAGTAGACTGTCCCAGGGCTCAGCCGGACCATGGATGAGACCCTGTGGTGGGAGTGTACTCAGAGCAGGGGGCCTGAAGAAATGGGTCCTCTGTTTACAACACACCCAATAGGAATCTGGCTTTTTTGTGGCAAGGGACACAAAACTTGTGGCCTTCCTGTGAACAGATACCCTACATATGTCCCACCCTGCACTTTCACGTGGTTTCTGGGCAGGACCAGTGCAACAGGGCTCAATATTGGAAAAAAATCTGTAGTATTTATTGGTGAGATTGCCACCTAGAGACTGAGACTGTCCAGTCCCTGTATGATTGGGCCGTGGGTGATTTCAGACATAAAGGCTTTTGAACCTCTTTTTCAAGGTACCTGGACTATGCCAGAGTCCCTAATAGCAATCCCCCTGAGTATGAGTTCTTCTGGGGCCTGCGCTCCTACTATGAGACCAGCAAGATGAAAGTCCTCAAGTTTGCCTGCAAGGTAATTGGAGAGCTGCCCAAGCTTGGGATATCAGGAGCATGGGGTGCCACTAGCTGTGGTAGGCTGTGTGCAGAGCAGGTTGCAACTCGTAAGTGAACATTCTGAAGCCTTTGTTATGTGCCAAATACTTTATCTGTGTCATTTAGTCCTTAAAATTAACATGTCATTGCCCTATTGCAGATGGAAAACTCAGGCTCAGAGAGGTTATTAGGTGCCATGTCCAAGGTCATGGAGGTAGTGTCAGAGCAGGAATAGACTATTTAGTGCATAATTACTAGTAGTATTTGTTATATTATTACTGTTGTATACAGCACGTAGCTTGGTGCCTAGCATATAGTAGGTGCTCATTCCTCAGATTCTGATCCTTCTAGTGGTTGTTATTTCCACTTCAGGTACAAAAGAAGGATCCCAAGGAATGGGCAGCTCAGTACCGAGAGGCAATGGAAGCAGATATGAAGGCTGCGGCCGAGGCTGCAGCTGAAGCCAAGGTTAGGGTGGAGATTAGAGCTCGAATGGGCATTGGGATCGGCTCTGAGAATGCTGCTGGACCCTGCAACTGGGATGAAGCTGACATTGGACCCTGGGCCAAAGCCCGGATCCAGGCAGGAGCTGAAGCTAAAGCCAAAGCCCAAGAGAGTGGTGGTGCCAGCACTGGTGCCAGTGCTAGTGCTAGCACCAACAGCAGCTTCAGTACCAGTACCAGCCTGACTGCCACTCTCACCTTTGGGCTCTTTGCGGGCCTCAGTGGAGCTGGTGCCAGTACCAGTGGCAGCTCTGGTGCCTGTGGTTTCTCCTACAAGTGAGATTTCAGGTATCTTCTTAGACTTGGTGAGGCAGCTGGGGCTCATGGGGATGTGATGAGGAACTGGGTGGTTTTAGAGGGCCAAATTTGGAGGACCATATGGAGAACATGGGGAAACACTGATTTTGTCATTTTATTCTTTGCTTTTTTGGTGGTAATTAATTGACTTTCTGATTTACTTTTACTTGTGTTTTCAGATACTGCTAATTCCAGCAGTCTTTCTCTTCGAGCCAGGGTGCATCCTCAGAACCCTACTCAACACAGCACTCTAAGGAGCCACTATCAATTGAAGTTGACACTCTATATTAAATCTATTTGCCATTTCTGAGTTTATTGCTTTTTTTTGGTGGGCTGTTGCATTTTGGTATCACGTTTAAAAGTGCATTGGGAAAGTTTCTACCTTAGGCTATGCCTAGTTTGAGGTGAAGTGACATTGTTGAATTCAGGACAACTAGATTAGCATGCCTCTCTGGGGTAGCTTGGGCCCTATCTCTAGCCTGCAGGTCAGGTAGGATTACAGTGCAGTGGGGGAGTATTGGGGATTGTAGGTACAGAGGAAACACTTTGAACAGGAACCTTAGGTAGGCAAGGCCACAGCAGAAAGCAGAGGTAGAGGAGACTGGACATCAGGTGTAGGCTTTCATTTTGAGATATTTGAATGAGACAAAGAGAGAGGTAGGTAGGTAGGTAGGGGGAGACACAGGGACAAGTAGGATTTTTGTGGGAAAGGAGAGAGGGGCCTGAGCAGGCAGGAGCCAATAGGAAAATATCAGAGACTTGACTCATGCTGCCCCAGTTCCTGAGGAGGCAGGAGGGGAAGGCCTGGCAGAAGGGCCTGTCCAGAAAGGACGTGGAAAGGGGATTATATGGAAGAGTATCTGGCAGCGGGGAAGCCCCAATAGAGGATGGGCCACATAATTTTTGGGAAACCCCCTCCCCATGGCAAGGTGCTCGGTAATCTTGTAGGTAACAAGAAGAAAAATGTTTATTCCAAGGGTTTGGTTCTGGAATAAGGATGTAATACCAAGGGCAGTGAGTGTATGAGACTGTATCTTCATTACTGTTTTCATAGCATCTGACATGTAGGTACCTGGTGGTGGAAGAGATGGACCATGGGACCCAGGTAGGCATGGGGAGGAAGCTGAGATTGTGTGATGGGTTGGGAGACAGTGCAGGGGTTTGTAGACAGGAGTCTCCATGAAGTCCGTGAACAGGACAGAATGTTAAGTGAACATACCAAGAACCTCTATGTCTGGCAGTGTTCTAGGTGTCTGGGAAGGGGTATTGAGAGAAATGGAAGGATGAATTGGGGGACCAGTCAGATGGTCAGACAGTGAGATGATTATGTTTAAGAAGACAGAGCAGAGAGCTCTGGGTGATGGTAAGTCCAAGCAGTGTGTGGTGAAAGGGGCAAGAAGATGATGGTTCCTGGAGATGAGGGGTCAATGGTGTGGGAGGCCAGGGTGTTGGTTTGATTATCCATGTAGACAATGAAATCCCCTGGGATGGTTGTAGGAGTTGAGGTAGAAATGAGCACTATGAGCCAGGTGCCAAAGTCCTCATGGTTGGTGGTATCCTCCCAGCTACACTGCACTGCCCACTCAGGCCCAGGGCCCTCAGCAGTCAGAGATCTACCTTTGCCCTGTTTTCTGGAGTATTTCTCTAGACCTCTCTCCAAGAAGCCCTCACCATTTAATCCTGATATTACCAGACTATCACTGGGACAGAGTCTTACAGACTTAAGGACAATGAGGCCCTACTGCCTCACCCCTCCTGTAGACTAAGCACTAAAGGAATAACGTTTATTGTTTAGGGAACAGGATCTAAAAAAGTTCCATCCAGAGCAAGGCAGCTCCTTACCTGTGGCCATGAATTGAGACCTGCTTTCACTGCTGAGGTGGTTTTCACTAGAAGCAGAGGTTCTTCTGTTGATTCCATAGGCCATGGTTTCCTCAGAGGCTGAGTAGTATCTGGGAAAGGTAGACAAGGTTAGAGGTAGCTTAGCCGTAGGGAAGACTCTAGTGGGTGGGTACCATGTTCGAACCCCTCTCAGATTACCAGGTGATGTCCATCAGAAAATGAATTGAGTAGGGAGCAACAGGAGGGTGGCAAGGAACTTGGGGACTGTGATGCTAACAAAGTTAAAAGTGCTTGCTAGGCATAAAGGTGAATTCATAGTGATGAAGAGCTTTGTCCTTCCCACTTATCTTCCCTCTGCAGACCACTGGACTTGCAGGGTTCCTTACCTATTCTCCCTTCCTATGAGCCCTAGAATTTGAGAGGACAAGGGGTTGGCTTTCCCACACTCCCCAAGTGGAAGGACTGAAGGTATGTGGGACCAGAAGGAAGAGATCAAGTCTGGTTCCCCGCAAGTGGAGGGTAGCCAGACCTGGGAAGAGGGAATGTTGGGAAATGGGGACAGACTCTGGCTCATATTTTTGTCACCTTAATCAGCCTTGAGGCCACTTCTATAATGAATGAACTCCCACAATTTTTAGTCTTACCTTCGGTATATCATTAATTAAATTCCACATAATTCTAGATTGTAACATCTATTTTCCCATTGGCTAGGAGTGGGAAAAGGCCCTGGAACAATTTATCTACCTATTTTTACCCCCTAAGAAGACTTTTAAAATATTTTTGTCCTAATTGCTTTCCCCCATGAAATTTGACTAACACGGACATACTGTACATCTCAAAATGACATACATTTGTGTTTCATACATAAAAGGGATTTTAAAATTCAGTACAAGGTTCATAATGACTAAACAAAAAAATTCAAAATTAAAATTTTAAAACTATTAACATTTAATTTTAACTATTTGCTGAGTATTTCATTATAATGTGTCAAGCTACATATGAAAATTAGCAGTCTATATGACTGATGATAATAGTGTAATCAAATTTTTAAAAATTACTCAAATCTTATTTTTCTAGCAAAAGTAAAATAATTTTAATTTCTTAAAAATTACTTTTAGTGGGCTTTTAAGTGTTGCTTGATAGGAAAAAATAGCTGCTAGGTATTCACTCAGGTATTGTCAACATTTTTTTCGTTTCAGTACTTAATTATAATGACAGATTGAATAACGTCTGTAGAATTAAATTGAAGGCATTTTTAATTCTCAAAACTCAAATTAGGCACAAAGGCACTGAGGATCAAACATAAAGGCAGCCAGTGACAGCCAATAGGCAGATGCAGACCACTTATCACGATATGATGGCTGCACTGACCAAAGGATTGAAAGTCCTCCAGTCATAGCCATCTATTCGTGAGGGTTTTGCAGCACGTTTTGTGTATCTTTTCATGTGTATGTTTGCTGCTCATGTGATACCCAAGAAAACCTGTTAGTAGAAATTAAAAACTAAGGAATCCGATTTTGTCCAGTAGGCTTGAGCCTTGGGGACCACAAACTATCCTAAGAGCTGGTTTATATTGCTTCACGAGGATCAATTTTCACCCCCTTAGGGGTGATTACCCACCATCCACCCACTCCCCATCCCCATGCTGAGAATGTAAGCCCTAGAGTAATATTTCACTGTGACTGAATTAAACAAGGTAGAATGAATGCTGGGTAGCCAGGAGAGAGAGAGGAGGGAGACAGGGAGGAAGGGAGGGAGAGAGCACAAGAAATATGTACTAGAGACCAACCGTTTGTGAGAACAAAATGGATAGCTAACAGAACCCCAGACTTCCAAAAATGCCGAGGTCCAACATAATGCTACCAATCCATGTATAATCACCACTTACCATTTCTCCAAAAGAAGATTACCCCAAATCTTATCACCTATCTCCAGCTCCATGTCCAGGAATGCGTGGGTTATACCCTTTCCTCTTCTTGTTACCTTGCAGTCCCCTCTAGATACACTACAAGATATGAGCTAAGTTGTACACTGAGCCACCA